CCCCACTGCCCCTCCAGGTTTGGTTGCATATTTCACTTAATTTCCTAGAAATAAAGTTTCAGTGGCAATAGTGTGGCTTTTTTTTAGCCTGCCACAGGCCCTGTGCATCATGTGTCACTTGACTTTCTTGGCCAGCTTGAAGAGAGAGGAAAAAGTTCTTACTTTCTGGGATAAGCATACAACTAAGGCAGTGCTGGGGCCATGTGCCCAATCAAGATATTTCTCATCTGCCCAATCTGGTGTGATGGGTTAAAGGGCACTCATTGGATTCAACCCCTGCCTGTGGTAACTGGGGGCTAAAGCTGCTCTCTAATTCTGTGTGCTGGCTCCAGTCGATGCTAGGGCTATGTCGTCTGGCTTGGGACTCTAGTTAATGCAGCCACTGCTTTCCCCCACAAAATTTCCAGACCTTGGGGACTCGGTATCAAGGGCTGGGTGGGGCTTCAACTGACAAGAGTGCACAAAGCTAGTCAAACACAGCGTGGAGCGGAGGAGGGTTGTTACAGGGTCTGAGGTACCCCAATAGTCGCAGCAGCCTCTGGACTGACTTGTCTTGGGGATCGGTATTTATTGCATATAATGCACATCCCATTTTCCCTGAACTCATTTTTCGGGGGTAGGAGGGGGGGTGGAGGATGCAGGTTTTATCTCAGAAAAGGCCCTGTCTTCTCTGGGAGAAGCATGGTTTTGAGTGGTACCTGTATACCGTTATGCTTTCCATATACAGCCTTTCAGTAAAGAGGTTTCTTCAGACACTTGAGGCCAGATGCTGTTCCGTCTGTTTCAACAGTCCCTAGGCGTGGTTCTCTTCCACTGTGAAAGCCCCAGGAAAACTTAAAACCGTATTGGATCCTTCTCCACCTCCTTGTTGCTACTTTTTTGAGATGGAGTCTTAAAGTTAAGATCAGTGCAGTTACAAAGCAAGGTGTATGGGTTTGGATGATTGGCCGGGAATTCAAACTGGGTGGAATAGGATCATGCTTAGGGTATGAACAGGCATCTCTCATGTCCTGGGACCAGTTGTGCAGGTAATTGTCCTGGAACACAAAAGTCATGTGATAGCTGTGTACATGTTGCCCTTCCAGTTAGAGTTTAGTTAGTGGCTGAACACATGGCTGCTTTTCTGGCATTGATCCAGGGATGCAATCCCCACATGTCTGTTGAGATGCTCTTCAAAATATCCTGGGGCATATTTAGCTATCTTATCTAGTAAACCTTTTTTGGGGTCTGTACTGGGTCAACGAAAATGGCATCTGAATGATGGATTCACTGAGGTTCACATTCAAATTAAAGCCAGGTATAGAAACCAGGCATAGAGTCATTATCCTGTGATAATTACAGTGTACTTGTAGCTGGCCTAAATTTATTGAGCAATTAACCAGTTAATTGCATGATAACTACCTTGCACATGTAACTGGTCTACACTTATTGCACAATTAACCAGTTAGTTGCATAACATGTGTCTCATGTAGCAGGGGCCTAATTCTCTTTCTCTGATTTATCTGAAACTGATCAGAAAACTGACCAAATTTAAACTTCTTGTACTCTCTTCAGTCTGACTAGATTTTGAATTGCTAATGTTTCTCGAAATGATCGTTTCTTACTGCAAAACCATGGGGTACTGAATGATCTAAAATTATAACTTCTTAATTTCCTTCTAGGTATTGTACTGTGTTATGGGTGATAGAAAAGAAGCTAAAATGCATATAACACCGGAAACTCCAGGACGGGTTGCTGTTCTGAACCCTTTTGAAAGTCCAAGTGATTACCATAGTCTGCAGGAACACGTTGTTTCCAGTCCTTCTGTCTTTAAATCAACGAAAGCCTCATCGGTAAGATTTAATCCTTAGTACATGAATATGGAAGAAATAGCAATACTTCCACATACACATTTTTCACACTTCGTAAAGTACACATGATTTGTAATACAACTTGAAATATTTTTACAAGAATTTAAACATAGTTCCTTCTGTGGAAACTTACAGTATTACTATGGTTGGTTTGTTTGTAGTGCTGTGTAACTGTTTTGAAAGTCTTGATGTTACTGCAGTTTTAGTGATTTTAAGAAAACCCAGCTAGTTGTACATGACACTTATTCTAATCGTATTGTTGAGTTAAAGATGAACAATACTGGTTAGCTAGGTTTTCTTTAGAGAAATGCTGTCTGCAGTAACACTTGTTCCAACATTTTGATTCAAGTAGGCTGGGTGTAAGTTTGAACTCAATAGTCATAATGCCCCCTACTCCATGCTTTATCTGGCCTTGTTTAAGGCTTGAACTCTCTTCTATACAGTAGCCTAGTTTCAACACGGAGGATGGGAAGCGTCTCTACCACAGAACATGCAGAGTCCGGTGGTTACCTGAATAACTCCATAGGGAGGTAGTTGATGTAGGTTTGAATCTGGGTCTCTGGTGAGGTCTGTAGCTACTGGGCTATCACATAAGATGGACACCACTAGCACCTTCTTTCCCTTTTTAAAAAGAAAGGAGCCATAACTGCATTTTTGTATGAATGGAGCCTTGTATATGGGTGCATGTTAGGTGTGCTCTGAAGATACAGTTCATGTCTATCAGGGGACTTAGGTAGGGGACTTTCTAGGTTTTGAATTTTAGCTGGTCTTTGGTATAATTTTGGCCCTAGTTGTTCAGACAGGAATCATCTCATGCCACATGTGGAGATGTAGCTCTAGGTGACATACTTCTTGACTTCAAAATTTTCTAGGCACCAATGACTTCAGGCTCCTACAGGGCTAGATGGCAGCTGAACAGCTATTTCTGGATCTCAGTTTTGAATTTAGGGACCTAATTTCTGAACTGGATCTGACCCTTAGATGCATCATTTACCACTTCCATCTCCATTTCTCATCTGTGAAAGGGGCATAGTAGTATTCTCATAGTAGTTCTCTGAGACACATTTGTTAAGAGCTTCGATAATGGAAAGCATCAGTTAATGCAAAATAGTAGATATACTTTGTTGTTTCACTTCCTATGGTATTGGTACTGGTTATTAAAAATAAAATTATTAAAATGTAAGTAGTCACTTTCTCCTTTTTTGTTGTTTAAATATCTAGCTTTCACTGATTGAAACAATTGCTGCCATCTTAGTGAGGTAATGAAAGTGCCGTTCCTTTTAAAGATCTGTGGGTTTTGTTTCCTTTGCTTGGAATAGTAAGCACTATGCTCTTTGTTCTTTTCTTAGACCCCAGGAAAATTTAGGTGGTCTATTGATCAGCTGGCTCTAATAAATCCTGTGGAAATTGACTCTGAAGATGTTCGACGTCAAGCAATGTATTTAAGTCATGCTAGGTATGTTGCTTGTTGTTTTACCTAGTGAACTGAAGTAATATTTGAATACCTGAAAGTTGTGCTTACACATGTACATTTTTAATGTATCTCTATAAAGAGTGAACATTTTCTATTAAATGTTAGTGCATATAACATTGCTTTTTTCCCTGCAGTTATTTAGATTTTTAGTTTGTTTTTTTTTAAGTCTCTGTTATGGATATAAAATCTTGCCTCTCCATTATTTGTCATGCCAAGCTCCATGGAACAATCTTGTAAAGAGGCTGGATTACCTGGGGCAGATTTTGGGCAGAAGCACACCTTTCAGTCACTGGTATGTGGGGAATTTCCTCTAGTTTATTTTTCCTGCCTTTACAGGGCTGACCAACTCTCCTACACCTCCACAGGTGTAGGGCTTTCTTAGGTACACACATGTGATGAGTGCATCAGGACTCTGCCAACAACTTTAACCACTTTTATTATTTTATGGCATGGGTCTGGTATTGGGTACTGCAAGCACTCCACTGTTTCAGTGCCTAATGGGTTGCAAGCCATTAGCAGAGTTTGATATTTCTTGTGGCAGTTTTGTTACAACAACGCAGTCTGGTCTCAGCTGCTGTCCTGTATTTTTACGCAAGAGACTGTCCAAGCTTTCACAGTTTTCATATGCAGCAGCAACCATAGTGGTATCATAAGAGTTATGTCTAGGGATCTACCCAAGTCAAGGTGGCAGCCAGCCAATTTCATGGGCAGGTTGCGGGGCTGGCTCCCATTTTTACGGGCTTATTGTGGCGGGGCTCCCTGTGCCTCTGCTTGAGGGACCCTGGTGGAGTTCCCCACTGCTGCTGATTGATTGGTAGAGGGGGCTCACTGTCATATGGCTCTGCCTCTTGCTACTGATGGGTGGAGAGGGGCAGGGCTGCATGACAGGTAGCCCTCTCAGCCAGTCAGCAGTGTGGGGTGGGAGTGGCTCTTGCTTGCTTGCCATAGTGCTGCCAGCCCCCTTAGTGCCAGTGTGCGTGGCCAGGAAGACTGCCGGCTCGCACTGGGGAGCTAGCATTTTATTTCTAGTAAGTTTTTATTTTTTTTTAATTTTTTTTTTCCCTGTGGATTTCGCAATATCTACAGTATCCATGAAACTGTGATTTGAGTAGGTCCCTAGTTATGTCACTGTTGATGCTTTCACTACAATGTCTTGCCACTGGTTCTATCTGTATTTTTAGTTATATGTGGCAATTTTCTGGAGGTATTGCAAAACTAGTCAGAAAAATGACTGGAAAAAGGGAGATAACAGAGGATGAACATACTTATAAATAACCAGGTTCAGTAATGCAGCCAAGGGCTTCTATATAGTGTTTTGAACTAATTTATAGCTCCATCAGTTATTCAGGTATTTGTCCCAAATGTTTTCTAAATATAAAAACATGTTCTGAAACTATTCACATATAATAACCGTATACAAACACTTGAAATACTTTTCTGTACAAGAGGTTATACAACTAATCGTCAGTATGAGTTTCTTCTGGTTGTGAATTATACTGTTATTAATTACTGAAAGGAGAGTTTTAATACATACTTTGTTGACAGGGAGGGAAAACTGAAAGGCGCAGTTAAATAAATGATTTGAATAATGGTTAGAAAATTGAACTGGCAGAAAACTATAATATAATTTAACATAAGATTTCTTTGGAATTACTATTTTGTATAAGATTATATAAAAGGAAGGCACTAGACAATTCATACTGGAAATTTGGGATTCTTGTATATTGGCTGGGATAAGATGGATAACGTGCATACCGTTTGAAAAGGGATTTATACACTGAGGACAGGTAGAAACTGTCAGAAATAACTACATTTATATACATGTTTCTTTATGTGCTTTCCACTGGGGTTTTTTCCCCCCTCTACCTGGTATTATTCTTCATAGTAAATCTCTTTGTCGTGTTTAAAATAAGGATATATTTAACATTATAGTAATTTTAAAAGTAGACTATTTTTATAAGCAAAGCTCTATTTTATTCCAGGATTTAGATGGAAGAAGAGATCTATTATGAGGACTATTTTTTTCAAGTGTTGCTATTAAAATTGTCTATTGTGGAACTTAGTTTTTTGGGTTTTTTTAAAGTAGATAGTTACAGAGGAACTGCACATAATAAGAATTATTCCTAGCATGGATTTATCTGGTAAAATTTGATACTTAGTTTTAGTTTAAGATTATTAAATGGTGTACACTTAATGAACTTCTAATTTCTAGAACCTCAAATATAATAACAGTATTTGTAACTTGCTGCTTTTTAATTTTCTTTATTTAGACTAGATAAAGAGATGGAAGACAAAAGACAAAAAGCAATTGAAGAGGTAAATAAGACTGATATTTATATTAAATTGTATATTAATGTTATGCAAGTAAAATGAACAGTAGTGCAGCATGCAGCGCCCTGCTGTGCCGAATTGCACCTGTGTGATGGTGATGGTGTAGATGTGAGGTGGGGGAGGGGTGGTGATCCCCCGCTGCCCCGTGCTGCGCGGGGCAGGGGCTCTGCCACAAGCCCTCAGGCCCCAGTCACCACTGCCAGAGCCAGTAAGTGCAGGGCTTTTTTTTAAATTTATTTTTTGTTTTTAAAGCTCCTCACTCACCGGCTGTGGACCGTGCGGATGGCAGCATGCTGTTGCTGCCAGCTGGGGCCAGCACCAGCACTCGAGTCTGCCCAGTGCATCCTGTGCTGAGTGCTGGGAAGAACCCAGTGCTGGCGCTGGCACCAGCTGGCAGTGGTAGCCTGCTGTTATCCCGCATGCAGATCTGGGGGCCCACACCCCCCAGGAGGGCTGTGAGGCTGTGCCAGACTCCTCCTAGGGGGAGCGGGCCCCCCGGATCTGCATGCGGGATGACAGCATGCTGCTGGCAAGTGATACTAGTTTTGCTTTGAAGAGTTTGAGGTGCAGTTTCCCAGAAACCCCTGCACCTATCGCCTTGAAACTTAGCAGGCTTCATGGCCTCAGAGGGAGCTAGCATCCCTGCATTTTTAATCCGAATCAGGCAAAAAATGATAAAGTTATGGGGCAGTTTTATATTTCCCCACTATAGCCTATGGCTGAAACACCAAAATACCATCGAAATTCCAAAACGGCTCCGAAACTGTTTCGGCTGAAACAAAATGGGACAATGATTCGAAACACTGTTTCTCCAAAATGCCGAAACTGAAATGAAACACAGGTGTTCTGCACAGCCCTATTGTGTATAGAAACAAGCACGTATATGTAACTCCATAGATTTCAAATAGGAATTCATAGTGTCAAAAATGGTTGTGGTCTTTTGGAGTTCTTTGTAATTGAAGAATTGTTTTATTAATTTCCATAATCAAAAAACAAGTGAAAACCAAGAACTGGCATATTCTGAGGAGTGTCTTGGGTCTAATGAGAGGTGCCACAGCAGTAGAGACACAGTGTGTCTAGGTGTACCCTTTTATGCCCATGTCATTTAGATTGAGAACATTTAAAAGAAAAGGAAAACCTTCATGGAGTGACACAGAAACAAACTTTTAAAAAAAGAAAGATGTTTTTGTATGCAGCAAGTCGTATAAATTTAAGATTGGTGATGTTGATTATCAAAACTTAATACACAAAGAAGAAAAAGAGAGAAGGTGATATCTTTGCCTGCCTTGTTTGAGACATCTTAATGCATTTCCAAGTTAAATATACTTTTGTGTAAAGGTTCAGAAGACGATGAGATGTTGGACTTATACCATGTAGTAATGGTCTGAGATGAAGCAAGCCCTTGATGTCGTATATCTCATTAGGAAAATCTGCTATTCATTTAAGCCCAAACCCATGAGACTGTGTTGCAGTATTTTATTTTGACATATCTGGATTACATAGACCATGTACAGGTGCTTTATTTCTATGGGGAATTGTCCCGCTCTCTCGGGAGAAACTATGAACATACAAACTTTTAATTTTTCCTTTGGGAAATATGTCTCATCCAGGAAAAACTAGGTCAATACTTAAATGATCTTCCTTGCAAGAGAAGCTCTTTCACCAATAGGACAATGCTCCCTCCAGTTGTCCCAGACTGAATGGGTTGGGTGGTTGGCCCTACTACTCCTTGCTTTTCCAGAGACCTGGTCTGGAGAAGGTGCAAGGAATCTTTCCTTGTGGCTTGACTCCTCTTGGGGACTGTGAAGATTAGAACCGCTGCTGGTTCCCATGGCTTTCCCAGACTGGGATCACACTGATCTAGTGAAGGTGTGGAGAGCAGTAGGAGTAGAAGCTAGGGAGGAAAGTGGATCCGGCTAACTATAGGCCCATTAGCCTGACTTCTATCCCGGGGAAGATCTTAGAAAAGTTTATTAAAGAGGCCATCCTTAATGGACTGGCCGACGCCAACATCTTAAGGGATAGCCAGCATGGGTTTGTTGTGGGTAGGTCTTACTTGACCAATCTCATTTCCTTCTACGACCAGGTGACCTATCACCTGGACAAGGGAGAAGAGATTGATGTCATATATCTTGACTTCAAAAAAGCCTTCGATCTGGTGTCCCATGATCACCTCTTGGTGAAGCTGGCCAATTGTCACCTTGGGTCCACCATGATCCACTGGCTGGAAAATTAGCTCCATGGTCGGACCCAGAGGGTAGTAATTGATGGACGTCACTCATCATGGTGTCCTGTGACCAGTGGGGTCCCCCAAGTCTCTGTCCTTGGACCCATACTGTTCAGCATCTTCATTAAGATGTGGACACTGGAGTCAGAAGCGGACTGGCCAAGTTCGCCGATGACACCAAACTTTGGGGCAAAGCATCCA